ACCCCCCTTTGGCCCCTTGCATCGAGTCATTTCACGAGTTTTCTGTCCCACGAATCACGATGGGCCCTTGGAGAACTGAACCGATTTCAAGATTCAGTTTTACTGTGTTCGTCAGGAATTTCTCTCATATCGCTGAAATACGTATGGATTTTGCATTATCGATGACGAGTAGAATGCCACAAATATTCAGTTGATACGAATCGACGATGGGCAAAGAATTTTTGGAAAAGTGATTTCTCCTTCGAGCAGACTGTCATTCTTTTCAAAAGGGAAATTTTGTGGTGCTCGTCTCGGACGAAGAGATTCGGGGAATCTTCACGGATGCTTTCGGAATGATTGGTTCGAAAGATGGGTCGACGACGAGGGAAGCACCACAGATCTATCGAGTGGAGGATTACCGAGGATGCGAGAACTCCGGCGTGATGTGCGTGGGGGTCGAGGACGCATGGATGGTGGAGGGGATCTCCCGAGCCATCCAGACTCTCTGCATCGTCGACGGGGGAACTTCTGCTGCAGCACAGAATCGGATGGGCCTCTGGATGGAGATGGAACGAAGGGGCCTCCTCCTCCATCGCGCTTTACTGTCTTCCAACGTCCTTCAATCTCTATCGGATGATGATTGGAGAGCATTAAATGGAAAAAGCCTCTTTCTAAAGGTACAATACAGAGCCTCGTGGTGATTGATTCTCCTCGTTCCCAGACCTCTCGTGTCTATTATTTATTTGTCTTCCATGAAAACAAGAATTCGGATGACTCTAACGTGAATGCGTTCCTCTCTGCAGATCCCAAAGGATACGGGAACGGATGAAGATGCAAGGAGAGAGACTTCTTCTCCAGAAGGTAATTCCAAACCTGTAGTTCGTCTCCCTTTCGCCATCATTACGACTTGAAATTTTAGGAGGAAAGAATCGATGAAGAAAAGGTCGAGCACGCACGCGTCATTGAAAGTTCAGGGCATATCCTCCTTAAGCTGTGGAGGATGGAAGGAGATTCCTCCTTTCTTTCGACGTGTATCACAATCCAGGAAAGTAAAAATGTTCGTCTCGACTCATGAAGGGAGAGAAGCCATATGCCTTCGCCGTCATCTGGAGTCCAATGAGGCACCCAAGTAGTTGAACAGTTATGAATAGTTCTGCTGGTTATGATTTGCTACAGTTCACACTCGATGTTAAGAATTCGAAAGCAAAATTTCATCACGAAGAAAAATTCTTGTCGGAAGTTCCTCACGTTTCGCGTTTTCCTTTGTGAACGGCGAGGATTGCTTTCCATTTCACTCTGAAAGGGAGCGCTTTTTCATTCTTCAACTCGACTCATTGAAAAGATGAAAGCTGAATGACCGTCACTCCCTTACTCCCTCGGTCTCACCCATAAGGTGTTGGCACGTCCTAAATTTAGGAGTGAGATGAGATTTTCTTTGAATCCAGGAAAAAAAATCGCTGTGACTTGTGTAGTACTAGACTGATCAAAAAGGAACGGAACTTTCGCTGCAGCTCAAATAACACTCGTCGAACTCGTTGGCCACTCGCAGGTGTCAACTATGTTCAATTTGCGACTCGTGGTAAAAATGTCAGTGGTCTTTCATATAAGGAACTCCGATGGTGATAATAAGAAACCACTTTTTAATGGACAAGGAAAAATAAATGAAGCGGGCGACCGTTCGGCTATTTCTGATATTCATGAAAATGTTGACTGATGATAGGTGGACGGTCGTGCAAAAAAGTTTCCCTCGATGAATCGATGCAGCTGATCAGAAATTTCAGAAAAAGAAACGATGGAAATGGAACATCTAATTTAAGAAATGAGAACGAAAAGAAATCCGTGCACACCTCATTCTATTACCAGCTGACATTCCCAATGGCATTCAAATTTCTAAAATCATATTCGCGTGTACCATTCCTTGGGGGTTGTATTTTCGAGTTAATTCGTCGACCTCACTTAAGTTATACTTTTAACCAGCTCCTTTGGAATGCAAAGTGTGAACAAAGTTCAAACATAGAGCAACACTTTTCCTCTGCATTACCCTTGGTCTCCATTAAAAATTAATTAGTAACCATGACTTTTAATTTCTGATCCACAGTTGATGAAATTCAGTATGAAAATGCATTTCGCCTTTTTACATTTCTCTTTTCCAGTAGAGAATTACCACGTCAGAAAGCTCATCTTCCAACTAAATTCACACTCTTGGAAGTTTTCGTATAATGATGTCTTCATCATTTTCCTAACTTAACTTTGGTGTAGTTTTCTCTTCATTTCATTTTTTTTATGAAGTTTTCAGCTTGATAACGGTTTCAATTGGAGTGGAAACACGGTTTCCCGACTGTTTTACCCTCGGGTCACTATCTTTCCGGGGCTAACTTCGTACCAGCATTTCTTCATACCCGTTCGAGCTACTGGGTTCAAAATGCGACATTTCCCTAACTCAGTTAAGCCATTCCCCATAATTTTTTGTCGTTGAAGTGAATGAACATCGGAGTCCGAACCACCGCTTCGGCACTCCAGATGCCGCCTCTTCCTTTCCTTTTCATTCCCATTGTCTCACGTTCTCTCTCGCTCTCTCTCCCTCTCTGAATTCCCTACATTGATTTTCTCGTGGGCACGGAGGGAGACGAGACTCCCGAGTCTCCACTTTCGCGTCCACCGCGTGTGTTGGATCTCTAGCCCGCGAAATCCGAACCTTCATCGTTGGCATCTTTGCGATCGATCTCTCGGGATGGAGACGCACGAGAAATTGACATTTCCTGACGGTCGTGTCCTTGCGTCAGGGCGCTCATTACCTCCTTCAGCTGAAATAGAGAGAGCCATGAATGCTCGGGTGGGGAATCCCCGAGAACGAATCCCCTTCTCGACCAGGAATCCACTCGTGAAGGGATTTTTCGTTTTGGAACGAGAGCATGGATGACTCATCGGAATAGAACATGGATGCCTCAAGCAACGAAAAGGGGAAGAGTGACGATCACGGAAATTGCGGTTACGGGCAGGGAGGGGGAGGCATTCCGTTTCTAATCCTCATCCCCTTTCCGTCACTTTTTCTGTAATTTTAGTAAGAAGGGAAGAGAGGAATTCCTTCGGATCACACACACCAGTACGAATTCCAAATACCTTTCCCGGGTCATCCTGTGAATCTCGTTCACACGGAGTGAGAAGATGAGAATCCCTTCATCTCCCCGTATCTCATACGAAAGCGATGAGAGGGAAATTACAAAATTTGAAGGAAAATTGCTGGGAAAGCGTCGGCGTTTCGACATCACGTGTGGAAAGGGTGGGGGACATCCCGATGTCATCCATCGTCATAGGGGGTCGGACGGTATTAGAATCCATGTTTTTCCCATCGATTTTCGCCGAAGAGGCGAAAGAATACGTCGAGAGGACGTAGAAGGCATCCGGAAAGAAAAGAAATAGATTCCGTTTTTCTTCGAGACGAAAGAGAGACGAGTGGAGGGAAACCATGGAGGAACGAAGGGAAACCGGCACGTGGAAGAAACCGTCAGTAAGAAAAGAAATGCGATTTCCCTCTCGAATCCATTCGGAAATGGAAATGGCGCAATTACGACGCGATTCCATGGGACAACCGGAAATAGGAAAAACGCTTCCAAAACGCTTCTTTTCTCGCGTATCTAATGAAAAGTTGAAAGAAAAAGAGCTTCATTCGTTCTTCTTCCGTTTCCACTCGAATCCCACATTCCTGGAAGGATTCTGAACGAGGACTTCCTTTCCCTTGCAGGGGCAACAAGGATTTTCGCCATGGCGCAAGGTCGAGACGGGCGAGGCGGGATGTGGGAAGTCCACAAGAACACTCTCTGGGTCTATGAATCTTATTACTCATCGAACTTTTTCGTCGCCCTCTCCGGCATGTTGATCCAGGGGGTAAGGGGGGAAATCCGGATTCTTCATCTGGAGGGTAAGGATCCCCGTTCGGCCCCTCACGGATGGGACCACAAACTCCGCATCCCCTCGACTTTTAACGTTGAGAAGACGACGGGGGTGGGGATCCGGGAATCTCTTTTTCTCTTGGGAGGGGAGAGAAATCCCCGCGAAGGACACAGCCTCGATCTCCACAGTTACAAATGGATGAATCTCCCTCTGATGACCCAGGGGAGATTTGACGCAGCTTCGTTGATGTTGGACCCCCACACCATCCTCGTCTTGGGGGGGGGAGACCCCCAGAAGAAAATATTTCTCTCTAGCTGCGAGTGTTTGGACGTTCGAGTCGGTCAGTGGTCCCCATTTCCCCTAAACATTCCCATTCCCGTCAGTTGTCACGCAGCCACCATCTACGACGATCATATATACATCTCTGGGGGATTCGGCTATTCGGAATCTGTGGGTGCGGTGTGGAGATGCAGGGCGAATGGGGAAGGCCCCATAGACACACTTCCCTCTTTACGAAAAAACAGATATTCACATGGGATGATGGGATTTGGCAAGGCTGGACTCCAAGTCATCGGCGGGAGATATCAAAAGGGATCAAAGGATGAAGAGGTTATTTCGACGGAGACGCTGACCCTGGATGGCGGAGAATGGAAAATCCAACAGGAAGTTCCCTTCATTAATGTGTGGAAGGCGAGTTCGATGAAGTTTGCGGGTTGATGGTGATCCCCTTCCCCTCATTCCGGGTGTTTTTAAACCGAGGTGGAGGAGCCTGTTGCAAGGACGGAGAAATATCCACTTTTCCGACTCGAGGCAATTTTTTCCACCGGTTTTATTACTACGTTATGCGTTTCCTCATTCATCGTGAGCGATTCCGCGATCGCATTCGTGTCGCGTCCGGATCTCGGACGTCCAGAGGGACCGACGGACGTCCTTCGAGGACGGGCGAGGGTCCGTCGGCAACGCCCTTTCTTCCTTTGCCTCGAAGACGAGGAAGGACGTCGTCAATCGTCGCCCGTATTCGAGCAACGCTTCGTCTGTGGTTTCGTACCGTCAATCCTCTGGGGTACTTTCATGTGATTAAATTCTCCACTTCCCCGCATTCTGGTGCTAAAATGAATAAAACGGCGAGAATCGGTCGTCGGAGTTCATCTATATGCTGCGTCTCTAGGGCGACGAAGGCGGAGCGATCTCTCGTCGGCCGTCGACGTCTTCACGCCTCGATCTGGAAGAAGCTGACCCCGACGGACCCGAATTCCATTTTTTGACTCCCGGGGCGAACAGGAATTTGTTTTCCTCTCGCGACGACCGAGACGGATGCGTCACGTCGTCGCTGCGACGAAGATGCGACGATGTATTCCCGGTGGAGCAGGAAGGAATTTCCCCGTTTTCGGCCGGTCCCCGCAAGCCCTTCTTTGGAACGGCGCAAGAATCGTCGGACGACGTGAAAATTAAATGGATGTCCATCTCGGCTTTCGAGGAGAAAGAGGAACATTGCGGTCACAGTGGAAAACACCTGCTTTCACCAGATTTTTCTCGTCTCCTGCATCGCGGAGCATAGGAGAAAGGAGCCGTAAGGGCAAAGTAAGTTTGAGCTGCGTGAGTCGGGGTAGTCCAGAAGTCCGGATTCCCGATCCTCGCCTTTTCTTCTATTGACATATCGAGATGTGAGATTCGCAAACTATCGAGAGAATCACCGCACCCCATACACCATTCCAATATCATTGGAGGAGACGTGAGAGAAGGTGATGGCGAGAACATCAAGAGGTTTAGTTTTATTTTTGGGAAATCGTTTGTGGAAACTTTGGCATTTCTGGAAGTGAATCTTCTCGTTTCCATGAGAAGAGGATCTTTCGCAGCGGCGTGCAGTTGTCTGTGACACAGATTTGCAGATTTTTCTCGACGGTTCTTCAAAACAAAAGAACATCTCACTTCATCCGTAGTCAAATTCTTGCCCGCGTGATTAAAATGAATACGATGAATTTGTTGGAAATGGTAGAAAAATAAAGTCAATACAGAATTTGTTATGCGTAATTGGTCATGTCATGCATTTCAAGTGTCTTTTCCTTTCTTTTTGGCTCATTTTCTTGCAAAGTGGGGACAAGTGCTCTCCCTCCACTGACGCTCTGGCTTTAATCATTGCCAAACGCCACGTGTTCCTCCTCTAAGTTGGTGATGCAGTGCATGACTTGCATGCAGAACCTCAATCTTCTATCTTTCGAGTATTATTTATGTTCCTGTGGTGACGGACGGACGGCAAAGGGATATTTTCAAATCATGCTCATTCGCCGTTTGATTATTTCTTATTTTGAAGAGTTCCTGATGGTCGGATTGAAGAATTTGACATCCCTGTTGCATGCTAAGGCGCGAGAGGGGTGCTTGCATCTCCATGTGCCACTTATTCGTATCGACTGCTGAAAGTCGCCAGCGTAAAGCGGATACTTCTCATCTGTCCATCCTAGTCCATCGTGTGTCAAAATCAAGCTAAAAACAGTTCCTCAGTTTTGAGGTCGCGTGAAAGTCGATAATGTTTCTGTTAACATCGAAAGCTTTTGTTTTTCCAGGTAGCCTAGAAGAAATAGCGTCAAGCCAGCTCTTAACATTTGAACACATTAAACCTAAGCGTATGGAATTGTCGTGATGAGCTAAGTCATGGCACGATCAGTATTTTTGGCTTGGGATTGGATGTGATAACTTATCGTATACCATTCACTGTATCCTTTGATGAGAGTAAAAACGCTTCTTTAAAACTCAAAATATTTGAAGGTGTGAACTAATGGGAGTACAAAGTTGGCAGTAGGCAAGGTAGTCGCGATGCAGAAGAGATCCTGCATCGATTTGCAAATGGTTTAGTACCACCTTTTTGATACTACATGTTCCATTTTGCTTATATGTAGGCCAGTATATATATTTTTCTCACAAAAGAACTGTTAAACCAAAGTTAAAGGTGGTAGAAATACATTTGAAAACTACTTAACTGAAACAAGGTCTGATTAAGCATGGTCGGTTCCATTGTGTGGCCACGATGGAATCCAGGCCAAAGCAATTGAACAAATAGTTCAATTCAGGCATTAAGGTGAACTTCCCTCGCCTAAACTGCAGAGAAGCCAATTTCAAATTTTTAAAAGTATGTATGCACCATTAGGTGATCTTTAGGGATTTCCTAACTTATTCTGATGTCCATGACATGCAACTGGAGAGCACCTGATCACATGTGACTTCCTGAAGGCTTCCAAAGATCTTTGGAGGAACTCGGACAATGATGTTAGAGAATTGTTAGAGAGCATTGTTAGAGGAATGCCACTTGTTATTGTACTTGGATCATCTGAAATCATACCAACAGAACTTTCTGCTTTTCCAATTATGAGGGAAGATGCAGGCAAACTTGAAAAACTCCACTTACTTCATGTGAGGGAAGTGAGCTATGTGTTTTCTCACTTAGTTTATGGAACTTTTATGATGCTAGTCAAATTTATATTAGTAAAATGCTGTCTGACAGTACATTATTGTTTGAGATGGCAATAGTTGTGAGACTGTCACGATAATTATCACGAATTTGGCCTCTAATGGGTGGATTGCATGAAACTGACTTGAGCCTAATGGAGCTTTACTGCTCCATTGCTCCATTAGGCTAAAGTCAGTTTCATGCAATCCACCTCATATCTCGTATGTCTTACTGATGAAAGGAGTCATTCCTACTTGTCATTCTGTGCTTTATGTGATTTTCTCTTATTCATGTCTTCCTCCCCTTTAATCATGGAGGAATTTCCCAATGCTAACATAACCATGGTAGACATTTTATCAGTCTCATGTTAGACTAAATGGTTGTGGGCCTAAAGAGGAGTACTAGCTGAAATATATTCTTGTGGACTAAATCTTCCTGCATGAAATGGCACCATTTTTTTAACTCCTTTACATTGGGTGTGAATTTTACTTAGTTTTCCTTTTGGCAGCCGCATTAATTAATGGGTATTTCAGGGCATTAGGTTTATACTGCCTTTTTAAGGGTTTTGTTTTTCACCAAAGAACTTCAGATGACATAAAGCAATGTGTTGGCAGCTGTAAACAACAGGCATACAAGATGAAGGCTTTAAAGTCCCAAATTTTCATTCACCAGAAGTATTTCCTTTTGATAATACCTCCAAATAATTCAGTGAATTCTTATTATTTAGCATTTAATTATCATATACTTAATTTTCCTGTTTCTATAAGTGAGTCAAGAAGGTCTTGAGATTGAGTAGAAAGTATGTCTTGAACTTTCTTTATCAAGAGCTGCTCTCATGCTCTGTTATGCAGTACAAATATTGGTATATTCTTCGCCCAATAAGATGTTGGAACATGCATTTTTCTTCTATTTTTTTTAATGCATTTCCCATTCAATACTTATAGTAAATTCTCAATACTTTTCTGATCATTTATGAAGGATATTCCTTGGATGGCAAAACTTTCTTTCTTTGCAAAGATGCTAATTTTGGTAGATTTAACCCCTGGCACACCACAAAAATTAGTACTGAAATGGGTTAACATCATCATTGCAGAGGAAATGATACTGAACAAAATTTTTCTCCTCGCAGATGTTAGTTTCTTCATGGATCATCTCTGGTGCTATTGCTAATGTGGGAAAGAAGGAGTTGCATCTTTCAAGTCCTTCCACCTCTCATGTACATCTTATTTCCTTTCTCAACAGAATGAAACTGTGCATCCAACAAGTGCATGAGATCCTAGTAGAACCCTGGACCAATCTAATTCATGTTGCAAAGGAATCTTGTGTTTAAGGATATGCTTCGACTGTTCACTGTTACTCATTTTTTACTACTGTTTATCTTCAGGTAGTCTGCTGGCAATCTTAGGATTTAAAACTGCTTTATTCATCATGCATGCACAGATCAATATGGAAGTTTTTTCCAACATTCGCCCTTGGTTCAGGTCCTTTGTAACTTTCATGTTATGCAGGTAGGTGTCAAGTTTTGATGGCTGATTTCGTACAGTTTTGTGTCTGACTGATACCATGCCTATGACAGTTCTTGAAAATGTCCAGTTTTTAGTTTGTTGCAAATCACAGTTTGCCCATATCTGATGTCTTCATGAGGATGCCTCCAGATCTTAGTCAGATTTGAGTTGGAGAATTTTTGAAGAATGGGAACCTTGCAAGGACAGGTAAGAAGTTGAGTCCATTCTCTTGAAGAATGCTATGAATGGCTTCAATGGAAGGTTGCAGAAGTGGGTTCATGATTTGGGTGAGAATGAGAAGATTGCTTAATATATGTGTGAACACAATTTGTGTTGGTTTTATAGGTGAAAGTTGTGTTTCTTCATACCCATTATAAATTCTGTGAATTCTGGTTTGCCCCTTTTGTGAACACCTCCTTTCATTAGCTGTTAGCTAAAATAAAAACTTTTGAGCTGCTAAACTACAGACCTCAGTTCACAAAATGAATCTAGTTTCTTGTTGAGTCTTTCATGTTTATAATGAACTCAGTTGTCCCAAATCATGCAAATTTTAATGGACTGCCTGAGTAGTGGATGTTAACTTCTCTGCAGCTTTCCTCTACTTCATTGGTAAGGTGTCAGAATGTCCTCGTACTACTCTCATGTAGGCAAGGGCAAACTTCATCCCAGGCTGGGCCTCAAGGAGCTTATTGATGGTGTGCCTCTCACTTTTTTTCTGCCTGATTTGCTTCAATGCTGGAATTCCAAAATCTGTGAACTTGTGTTCTTTTCCTGGGATTTTAGAATTCTCTCAGTTTCATCCCAAGCATTCTGCTTAGTTTAGATATCTGAAAGTACATTGTTGGTGATCTAGTTAGGATTTTCTTAATCTTTCAATTTGAAGCTGACCAACACTTTAGATCCAATTTAGATTGATATTGTGTGTGTGGACTCATTTTTGCTCTTTGTTTATCTTTCGAGTTCTTGAGTAATTACATGTTCCAGATAGTACCGAACAATTATGATTGGCCCTGACACTGGACTGACCTTGAGTAATCACTCCAAGGTCAATTTAAAAAGGGAGAGGTATTGAAAGACTCACACAGACCTATCTGCCTTGACTGGGTCCTCAGTACTGAACTTATAGAAAAACTAAGCCTTCATTTTTTCAAGTACTGAGACCCACTGACTGCACCCACTGAGACCAGTGGTGCTGTGCAAAATTGTGTTGCATGTATCTTTGCTGTGTTTATCTGCATAAGATCCTCGTTTTCGTTACCGACCTAATTTTTTCATTCAAAATTGCATGTGGGAACAAGTTGTACTCTGCCGCCCTTTTTACTTTCACTATCGTTTCCTTGAGGAGTTTCCACGCTTGCACCTTTGCGAATGGGTAATAGACACGGAGTCTAGAAAGGAGGCCTAAGCACGGTCCCACGTGTTCGTAGCATGTCTGAAATAGAGCTGTCTTCTAGACACCACCTGGAAAAAGAACTGGGAAGGCTTGGGGATCCTTTCTAGTTCTTTGTCTGCGAATTGGGAAGCCAAGAATTCGCCTCCTGACGGATTTGCATTAACGACGAAAGACGTTGCTACAGAAACCATGAAGTATTGCGCTCTTGCACTCGCTCG